TCCCCTACCGTTCTTCGCACTCTCTGTCCTTCATACCCGGCCTGTCTCACCTTCTCAGGCGCTGTGAAGTGCGTGTCTGTGGCAAGTACCTCTACCTAATTTGGCCCGAGAGGACCATCTTGGCCCCTGGGCCCTCTTGCTCTGGTGGGGCCCCTTCCCCTTCAGCGTGGACCTCTAAAGTAGATCGCGGCTGAAGTAATGAAGTGTCACTCCCCTTGGGTCACTTCTGTCTTGGCTGTCACTGTCCTCTCTGGAGCTATTCCCTCAGGGGAGGCCAGCTGCCCTGCCTGTAGGGAGATGTGGGGAGGATCAAGGACTGCCAGTAATTGTGAGTAATCTTGGTGATGGCTCCTCTCCAGGCGAGCCTTCGGGTGAAGCTGCAGTCCCAGGGGACTGACTACAACCTCAGCAAAGAGAAGCCGGGGGCCCTGGGGGCCCCGAGAAAACATAGGGTTCCAGGACACAGAAGCAGGGAGCTGGCTGCACACGCAGTTTCGGGCACTGGGGGTAACAGGTTCCGCAGCAACACACAACACCGCATTGACGGTCCTGGCTCACCGTTTTCAGAACAGCCCCTGAAAACTACTGACTTGCCAAGGTCACAAGGAAGAGCTCTGAGCTCTGAACCTGTCACACTGCACATGGGCTCCTCACTGCCCCAATCCCAGCACGCCAGCTGCCCCACTCAGCCTGGCCCCTGCCTTCGGCCCTTCCTGAGCCCACCTGAAGATGTCTCAGTCTTGAACCCTCTTGCTGTCATGACCCAGCATGAGGAGCCATGCTAGCACCCCATCACCCCCCCCCAAAAGCCTGTCAATGCACATGGCATATCCTGAAGCTACCCGCAGCTCTGGAGGGGGTCCGTGATGATGTAGGAGGGAAAGGAACAGCAGAAAGGCCACCCCATAGACAAATTCATCTCTAAGCCCAGCTTCCTGCCCTCTCTCTCGCTTGCTCACTCAATCGCCCGCTTGTCCACTCACGGTGACGTCCCAACCTGATGTTTCCAGCAGCCAGCGGCCCGGCGCACATCTGCTACCGCCACCTAGGAGGGAGATCAGGCCATCTCCTCCTTCCTGTTCTACCTGACGGTTCCACGAGGGAATTTCCAGATGACTCAGCCTGCTGTCACTGCCCCTGTTCCCAAGGCCACCCCAAAGCCAGGTCTGAGACAAGGGAAGGCATGGCTCACACTGACTCCTGCCCCACACAGGGTCTCCCTCAGCTCTCCTTACACAGACCCACACCCACTTCACACACACACACACACACACACACACACACACACACACACACACACACACACACACACGGATGGGTACTGGAGGAGAACGGATTCCATGAGGGTCCGCTAGCTCTCGCGTTCTCTCTCTCTCTCTCTCTCTCTCTCTCTCTCTCTCTCTCTCTCTCTCTCTCTCTCTCTGTGTCTCTCTCTCATATTTATCGTCCCTGAATCCGAGATCCTTGATACCTAGCCTTTCTTGTCTCCCACCCTGCAACATAAGTGTCTAGAGGCAGCACCCTTACCTCGTCCCTGGTAACCCCATCTACCTCCTAGACTTCATGCCTTTCCTGGCCTCTTCCCCTCCAGAGTGGGCTGAACCCAACCCTTCACTTCTAGGTAGCTGGTGGGAATGCCAAAGTGTAGACATGAACGCCTAGGGAACACTGTCCTGGGGGCCCAGAAGGACAGAAGGACAGCGGCGTATGTGCCTATGTACATTCTAGCTAGCACACGGGACAGAAGGCCCTCCACGAAACCTTCATGGATGCCCATGCCATGTGCCAACTACACTGCCAGATCATTCAACTTGATCTTATGCCCACTCTGCTGACAGATGGTCCCATCCCAATCCAGGGACAACCGAGGCACTAGCCAGAAAAATGGAGCAGCTTCTAGCTCTCACTAGGACATGTCTCCTTCCCCTTCTCCCTACAGCTTTCCTGACCCCATCAGCTAGGTGCCCAGTTCAGGTTCACCTTTCCTTAGCTCCCTGAGACTTCCATACCCACTTCAGCTCCAAGCCAGGCCTGTACTCCACACGCTCTCTCCCTCAGACCAAGGCTTCTGGTGCCCACTGAAGGCCAGGTACTGGGATGAGTTATGCCAGAACAGCCTGTTGCTGTGGCTCCACAGCCCTGGGCTCTGAGCATCTAAGTCCCCTCTCCCACAGCAGCTCTGTGCTAATCTCAGAGTCCATAAGGCCATGGGAGGCTGCTGCCCTACTGCAGCTCCCAGGGTTAAGGAACTCAAGAAGGGAAAGTAAGGAGTCAGTCCGGTGAGACAAGGCCACCGTGTTCCCTCGGCCAGCATTCCGCTTTTGGGCCATGTCATCTCCCTCTGTGATGAGTGAGACTCAGTTTCTCAGATCACTGAGCCCCCATATTCTCTGAGGCTTGGGACATGTGAAGTCCAGAGACCAAGCTGGAGGTGAGCCACCTGGATGGCACTGGGTTATCACCCCTCACACGAGGGGTCCATTCCTGGCTCCATACACACTACAGGAAGATAAAGGAGGAAGTGGGGAGAAGAGGAAGGGGGAGGGGAGGCCTCTCAGTGTCCCTCCCCATGGGACTTGCCACATTGCCCATCCCAGCAGCTCTGCAAGCAGGTGCAGCCCCGGAAACCTGCCTAGAGAAAGAGACGAGGCACACAACCACAGAAACCAGCTTCCATCAGTCCCCTGCAGGCTACACCCAGGGCTGGATTCCACTTTACCAACACACACACACACACACACACACACACACACACACACACACACACAGAGGCATGCCACCACCACAGGGTATACCATAGCATGGCTGCTTATAGTAAGAACACACAGTCTCTCCAACACACAAAAACACACCACATGGGTATACAAATAAGGACTCAAAGCACAGCTATACCATCTGTGGACACCAAATACATAGATACCCAAAACATGATGTCATGCGCGCGCACACACACACACACACACACACACAGAGCAGATAAAAACCCAACACAGAATGCAAGGTCAATTCTTACCACCACCCTTTACTAATCATCACCCAGCAATCCAAAATATTTGGGCTTGAAACAAAGCAAAAACTCAAGGCTTTTGAAAAAACTATCCAGGGCCATGTGACTGTCTTTGGGGCCCAAGCAAGCCATGCAGAGCAGGAGCACCCATAGGAAGCAGCCAGAGTCTGTGCCTTCCCCTGTTCCCAGTTCACCTTCCAAAAGGAGGCAGAGCCATAGGCAATCAGTATGCAGGACCGGAAGGCGCACATGCGTATGGACATGTGAGGACAGATGGGCAGAGCTCGACTGGATGCTGTCAAACACAGGCACATCCTTCACACACCCACTACTCCTGATGGCAGCCGAGGCGACGGCCCGGCAGGCTGAGGAGAGCGGCCTGACTTGACAGGGAAGGGAAGTGGGCAAATGGAGACACTAGATTAACAGTCAGCCTAGATACCCACCCAATTATGTTCCTGTCCCTTGTGACATGGCACAGCTGAAGGAGAAGGGCCCTGCCTGACCCTGGACCCAGATCGCTTCTCCGAGACCTCTTGATTTCCTCCCGTTTGCATTCTTTCTGCCCCCATCTACACAATCACCACAGGGACCGGGTGAGAGCGGCTACCGCTAGTCCTGCTGACAAATGGGAACACGGGGGTACACCCGACCCCAACCTCATCACAGTGATGCCATCTACTCAAGAGCAAGAGCTGGGCAGCTCTTGGGGCTCCATGCACTTATGGATCGTCTGCTCCAAGGCAGCCAGAGGACAGTGGCCATGTGTCCCAAGGGCCTTTCTGTCCTGCCCAGTCCCCAGGCCTGGCCAGGTCTGACCCCAGTGGAAAATGTCAGCTGGCCCCAGACCCTCTGCCAACAGTGAGCCCGGGCCATAAGCAGGCAGCCAGGCCTAGGTCAGCCCATTCCAAGTCTCAGGCCAAAGCCAGGTCCCTGACACTGTCCCAGCATGTTCCACGTTATGTGTCTTCTAGGGCCTTCCATCTGCCACTTGGCCCTCCAGACCCAGGGTTGATTCAGAGAATCAATAATCTGATTTTCCTACATCTTTACTTTTTTTATTTTTAAATTAGTAATTACTATCCCAATGTTCAGAGCCTGGAAGAAGGCAATCACCTGACCATCAGCCAATAGCCATGGTTTCTAAGTTGTTCATTCTCTCTTTCCTGCCTGAGCCTCTCCCAGGCTCCTGGCTGCTCAACAGACTCAGCAGATGGAGGGTGCACACCTTCCAGTACCCTGCTTTATAGAGACGGTCACAGGGCATTGAGGTGGGGGCTCTGACTCCAGACAGTCTGCAGAGGAGCCCAGTTCCAGGTCCAAGGAAGGGTCCCCCTCTGAGTCTGCTACCACATTAGCCATGTTGCTCCCAAGACCATGGCACAAGAGCTGGGCCGTCCAGAAGACAGGAGCCCAGCACACAGCATGCCAATCAGCCTGCTTTCCTCTCCTCCGTCATCTCCCTGCTTGTAGGTCTGCCAGAGTGCATTCACCTCTCCTGGCTCTGCTGTCATTACCACACCTGTGTCACTAGCACACCTGTGTGCTGAGGCACAAGCTGGCACAGGTACACACCCACAGATACCTCCAACGCAAATTCACAAGCACAGACACTTGTGTACGCACGCAGGGCGCCCACATCTCTCCCAAACCAGAATCTGTCTCCCCAGTCGAGTGTGATCTGCCTCGTCCTTATGAAAAGTACTCTTGGGATACCCAGGCCCTCACATTCCACTCAGGGGCTGCTCCATACCCTGGCAAGAGAACAAGGCCACTTTGCAGGGAAACTCAGATGTCTGACCCCAGCTTTCCCTAGATCTTTATTTCTCTAGCCACAGTGCCAACCACCAGCCCCACCAGCACACACACAGCCCCAGAGCCCACCAAAGAGTGAAGGGCAGGGACATAAATCCCTCTATCTCAGTACCTCTCCGCTCCAGCCTCCCAAACGGTCCCCAGGATCAGTGTGGGTGGAACCCAGACATGAACTTACCGTGGAGAGTGTTCCGTGTGATCCGTCCCCCCATCTCAGGCCTTGGGCAGCTTGGCCACCTCCGTTTGGCTGGCTGGCCTCGTCACCGTCACCGAGCAGCCCTGGCCGCCAGTTCCCCTCCTCCTTCCTCCTGTCCTCCCCCGCGGCCAGCCGGCATGGCAGGGCCAAGCAGCCCCCTTTGCGCCCCGCTCTCTCTCCCTCCTGCATGCACACGCCTGCCCGCCGCGCCAGCCGGCCACACACGCACACCCCCTGCTGCCTCCCAGCTCCCACCCACTGGGAGCCTCCCCCACCTCTGTGCTGGTTCAGGCAAGGGATCTGTCATGTTTATTTACATAAGGAGGAGGAGACTGGAGGCTTCCTGAAATAGCCAAGCTCCAGAAAGCGCTGGAGATGCCCCAGCAGAGCTCACATCACAACACACACATACATACACACACACAAACAGGACAGACAGACATACACCACATACACACACACACAGAGACGGGACAGACAGACACACTGACAGAACAGACAGACACACACCTCATACACACACACATATACACACACGAACAGAAGGACAGACAGACACACACACACACATCTCATACACACTGACAGGAGAACAGACACACACACACACACACACCTCAAACACACATACACACACCTCATACACACATACACACACCAACAGGACAGACAGACACACCTCAAACACACATATACACACCAACAGAAGGACAGACAGACACACCTCAAACACACATACTCACTGTCCCATGGATATGGAGATACACACAACACCTCTCCTGTCACCCAGACCAATAGCCAACAGCCATTCAATATTCGGGGGACATCGCATGCCACTCCATGCAGAATAGGGATGAAGCCAAGGGTGGGATAAAGCAACATTGATTTTGTCCCCACCCTGAGGGTACCACAGTCAAGCTAGGGAGCTTTGGGGCAAAGAACTCGCAGAATTTCCATCTTCCGGACTTGGTTGCCAGCACTTGGCAAGGAATAATCCTTCGGTCCTTGCAGGCTGACCTTGAAGATCAACCTCAGTACTAGTATGGACAGGTACCACTAGCACCTCCCAAAGACCAGAAGGCCAATGAAAAGAGCTATGAGAGGGAGCAGAGCTGGGATGAGCAGCCAGGTACTTTGGTGCCAGAATCCAGGCTTTTACTCTCATGCCAAGTTGTCTTTTTAACCATACACGTTCACACTCTTGCACAGCTACACGGACCTGCACAGTATGTGTGCATCATGACCCAAGTCTATGACACAGACACACATGCACACGCTCATACTCCTAAGCACTACTGTGGTGCTCACTCACCCTACATACTACATGCATTCTCCCATAGATTCAACAGCTTCTGGAGGAATCTTAAGGTGCGGAATCTGGCACCATCCTGCACCCAGGGAAAAAGAAAGCCCAGACAGAGGGGACAGGTGAGGCTGAGAAGGAAAATCCTAGCCCTAACCAAGTCCAAGTTGCCACCAAAAGGGCCAAGCTGTGCACTGAGCCCTCACGGTGCATGGAACATAAGCTGTTCTTATACCCATTTTACAGAAAAGAAAGTGAGTGTTCTGAGAAGCTAAGCCCTTGCCTGAGGATCCCCGCATGTCACAGAAAGCCAGGAATGCCAGCCTAGGCATGCCTGGGAAACACTCGCCATCTATCCATTACACTGTCCAGGATAAACTCCTCTCCCTGGTCCCGTCCTTACGGTTAGGGATCTATGTTCCCATAGAAAGATACAGATGGGGATCCAAGGGCTGGAGAAAAAGCTGGGGGAAATGTGGGAGCTGCCTCCCATCCAATGGACCTCAGGTATGAGCATTTGTGAGGTTTCAGGACACTGTTGCCCACACCGCCCACACACCCCAATCTAACAGAAGGACAGAGAGCATGCAGAGGGACATTGGGACCTAATTGGGCTTAGCAGCTAGAAAGCTGGGCAGGCCCTGGGTGTGAGTGCGTGCAGTCTGTATAGTGGTTCTCTTTGCCAGGGGCTTCATTTGGGAGAAGCTGTGGCTGTGAATTCTACACAAGGCAGCTCCTCTCACAACTTGCGGGTGCACACACTTGATGCTCACATGTGTGCATGTGCGCACACACACACACACACACACACACACACACACCCCTAGTCCCTTCCTATGGGGGAAAGTGGCTGAGGCATCTGACCACTCCACTTATGGAATCCCAGAAATAAAGGCAAAGCCTCGCACTACTGTAAGCACGTTACACACACAGGGTCTCATTCCAGTACCCCACACACACTTTGATCCCATGTGCATGTGTGCGCAGTGAGTATGCATGTGTGAATATGTGTCCGCATGTGTGTGGGGGGTGCACATATCTCCATGCATAAGTGGAGGGCCAAAGTTGACACTGGAATGTCCCTCGATCATTCTCCACTTTATTTATCGGGAAAGGGTCTCTCACTTGAACCCAGAGCTTGCGGATCAACAGGGCAGCTAGCCAGTTTGCTAGCCCGTCCCTGCCTCTCGACCTCTGGGACTCTGGGCAGTCATCAGACCTGCCTAGCTTTTACATGGCTTCTGGGGATCCACACTCTGGTCCTCACGTTTAGGCAACAAGCACTTTACCCACTGAGCCCCCTAGCTCCTGCCTGCTGTTTAATACACCTAGCTGGGCCTTGGGCCACTAACCTCTCCCATGTGGCGAGCTAGTCTTCTCATGGCTCAGCATCCCACATCCAGCTCCTGCTTTCTCCCACTGAAAACGCTCTCCTTCCCTGTGGCCAGTACTGGGGAGACCTCTTCCTGGAAGCCTCCTTGGAGCTGCAGGTAGTTGTTAAGGCCACATTTTTTTGGAGCTTGTCTCTCCTCTGAACCCTGTAGCTGTGCCCCTCCTAATCCTTGTCTTATTCTGCCCAACACAGAGACAGCTAGGATCTAATCAGGGCCTAGTCCATGTGTCCCGGATTCTTCTGAGTGGAGATCAACAACCTAATGCACCTAAACCCACAGCCTGGGCACCTGCTACATGCCAAACACTGACCTACACAGTGACGGTGAGGTGTGATCCACAACAGGCAGATCCTAGCTCTCAGAAATCTCAGAGAAACAGACATCTCTCAACTAACCACCATGCAGAATATGCGATCACTTTTCAAAAAAAAAAAAAAAGTGCTGAAACCAAGTGTTCTGGTTCTAGTGATCTTAAGGCAGGTTTTCCTGAAGCGTGCCCAGAACAGGGCAAGATTTGTAGGTTCATGATGTGCTATGGAGGTGGCCAGGGATGAGTGCTGTACGCGGGCTGTAAGGAGCCTGGCTTATTCAAGGAGCAAGGCTGCTGTGGACAGCATCGGATCTGTGGGACAGCCGTGGTGAATTTGCTGTTGGCAAGACTATATGGGCCATGAAAATAACACGGGCCTGGAGGAGCAGAACGAAGACCAGCTATTTCCCTGAGAGCAACAAGGAACCCTGGCAGGCTTCAGTGGGGGAGGCAGCAGGACCAGACACACATGTCTAAAAGGTCACTCTGCCATCTGGTGTGGGGCACACGTGGGAAGAGACAGAGGTGCCAGGGCAGAAAGCGGTGGCATCCGGAAGGATGGGGCCAGCACCCGGCTTGCCCTCACTCCCCCTCGGGCCTCACATCATGCCTTGTAGAGGCGCCACTGGGAAAATAGCTCACAGTAGATGGGGTTCACTCACAGGATGGGGGACATAACTGAGAAGTTATCCAGCAAGGATGGGGCATGTGTGGCCAGGGGACCAGGGAGTTCTTCAGCTGGCCAGTGGGAAAAATTAAACAGAAGCTAGACATGGTGATATACACCTGTAATTCCAAAACTCAGGAAATGGAGGCAGGAGGGTCATGAGCTTGAGGCTAGCCTGAGCTATATCACTAGAAAACTAGTTGATGGAGTAGAAAAAACTTGAGAATTAAGGGTCTCCTTGGTAGCTCTAGGGCTTCCAGAACTGATGGGGGATGCCATTATGTATATATGTTTCTCATACTGGTTAATAATAAAGAACTGTTGGCCAATAGGAAAGGAAGATAGGAGGGACTAGGAGACAAAGAGGAAATAGGAAGTAGGAAGGAGGAGTCAAGATGGAGAGTCTAAAGAAAGCAGTATGCCGCCGGCTCCCCGGTAAGAGAAATACATAGATCAACAGAAATGGGTTAATAATTAAGACAGAGCTAGCGGATAAGAAACAAGTAACCGGGCCAACAACATTGTATCAAATACAGAGTCTCTGTACATTATTTGGGGCTGACTTGGTGGTGGGACAAGACCAGCGGTGGCGGTGGCGGGCGGAAAAACCCGTACTCGTTACACAGAACAGTACTACAGAACAAAGGATTCTTCCTACCTGGTCCTCTGCCCTGTTTGCAGAAGGAGGGTGCAATGCTCATGGTTCTGTAGAGGCGGCTGCGCCCCCTCTTCAGGGTGGAACCTGAGATGCATCCCCGCTAGGTTTTATTCACTGGGAAACCACATAAGCCTCCACTTAATCAAAAGATTCTATTTACTAAAAGGGCAAAGAGAGAATCACTCATTCACTCGGCAAGCTTCCCCATGCGCTACTGTGGACCAATGGGCAAGCAAGACTCAACCTTCACCCCCCCCCCCAGAAACCAACAAGCAGGTGGATGAAGCCTGGGACGGGAAACGGTTATAGTTCACGGTGCAAGCCATGCATCAGGGGAAAGGCCTCTGTGGCCTCTGTGGCCGTAGGTAAACAGCACATTCCACGGCCACACTGAGCAGAGGGGGGGAAAGGGCCGAGGCAGTACAGAATGCCTTCCATGGGCTCCTGTGTCTCAGCACTTGGTCCAGCTGGGAGTGCTGCTCTGAAGGTTGAAGAATCTTTAAGGAAGTGACGCCTCGCTGGAGGAAGTGAGTGATGCTGGCCCTGATGTCTTATAGCCCAGTCCTACACTTCCTGGCCTCACTCCACTTCCTGACCGAGGAGGCAATGTGACCAGCCACCCTGTGCGCCTGCAGCCCTGCCTTCCCCCCATGATGGGTTTCCTACCGGACTGTAAGCAAAGATGAATTCTTCCTCCCTTAAGTTGCTTTTTGTCAAGTACTTTGTCACAGC